GTCCCTAGGCAAGTAAGTCTTTTTCCATTTTTGAGCATCAATTTACATTATAGTTAGATCAAAGATAAGATGCTAATCTAGGGAAGATTCCCTTAACTGCCATGAGGACTGATATCTAAGTACTTAAACATAATTCATCTTTATTGTTTCCTCCTGTTACAACCATACCAAAGGATCAAGAAAGATAATGCCAAACAGGGATTTCTGCAGCAAATGGAAGTTCCGCTTTCCGTTAGGTAAACAGAGATGTATCCCCACAATGGAAGTGTCATCAAAAATCACATTTGATGAATGGACAATATATTTAATAATTTATAATCACATTAATGGAGCAGCTGATGTTTGTGGACATTTATAATGTATCAGACACATGACTTCAGCACAGCTACCCTGTGGGCTAGGTGCAGTCAAGACCAGCTTGATGAGTTTATGACCACATGGGCACACAGGTGACCTTACATTTGGGGCTTATTGTTCTGTTTTGGCCATCTAGAGATTAAGATTTTTTGTATCCCTGCGTGTGTTTTGTGTATGCACAGGGTTATGTAAAGCCTCGGCTCACACAAAGAGCTGTTTCTTATTCCTCTAAACTCACACCTCTGAGATAGATTCCCAGGTGCCTGTCTCATCCCTGCTCCCCAGACACCCCAGCCTTCTGCTCTCATAGGGCCTCAATCCAAGAAGAGGGAGAGAAAGGGAAATGTGTCTGCCCAGGCACAGGACAGGATCTTATAGCTATCCACACTATACCCATGTCATACCACCAGGACAACAGCACTAAACAGAGAGTAATAAACAGCCGACAGCCTGAGAAAAATCACAGGAAGAGGAAAGTTTGTCTCAAAAAAAAAAAAAAAAAAAACTAAGGCCTGAAATTAAAATGCTTTATCCCTCATAAATTATGTAGCCAGTCATGAGTACTTGACAGAAATAGATATTGAAGTTTAGAGAGGCTCAGAGATTTGTCTAAGATCACACAGTGGCCAAGTGGCAGCATTTAGATGAAGTTTTAGGTCCTTTGAAGAGAGTGCTGTTAGGGTCCGAGAGAAGTCCCCAAGAAAAGACCAACAGCCACGTATATAATTAAACAGTAATTTATTTATCCAACATTGAAGTGGCAAATAGCGATCCCCAAAGAAGGTTGCAAGCTCCTTTTAAGTGGAGTTAGGGAAATTTCAGGGAGGAGGGATTATTCTGGGACTGACTAGTGGAGGAAAGATTGGTCTGGACCATTGGTGGGAGGTCCTAGTGGTTAGGGACCTTCCAGAGGCAGGGTATGGAAAGCTATCTTTAGCTAGCAGAAGGCTAGGGGGTGCTTGCTCAGCTAGCAAATGGGCTTTAGGGGCCTGCTGGGCCAGCAGAGGGGGCCATGGAGTGCCTACTGAGCTAGCAGAAGGCGATGGGGTGCCTGCTGATTGGTTGTCCCTAAGTTGTGGTGATACCCAAGAAGTGTTTGCTCAGCTCCAGTCACCTACAGTAAACTGAAACTAAGGCCTGGTCCCTGGCAGGGGCCATTAGAAACCTGCCATGGCTCTGGTCTGGCTCCTTGGTCCTCTCAGATGCTAAGATCTTGAAAAGCTTCAGCACAGGAATTCACCAGCATCCTGGGTGCTGAATCCTGGGCACGCTGCCCACTCTCATCTTTCCCTGATGAAAAAGACTCCCTCTGGGTAGTCTTCCAAAGCAGCACGGCTCTCAGACGTGGATTCACCACTTTGCACAGGCTGTGATTTTTGCCTGCAATGTTCCTACCCCTTCTCCCCCCACCCCAGAACTTCCAGAGCATGTGGCAGATAAGTCACCCAACCTACATGGCACATCACGGCATATAAAGCATTTTTATGCTGCTCCCTCATCAAGACAGCACTGAGTTGAAGACTAGGCAAGAAATATTAGTATTCCCATTTTACAGACAAGAATGTTGAAGCCTCAGAATGGCAGTGGCACCATCACCACCACACACTCACATTGCTTGTCAGAGAAGTTTTAAATAGATCAACAGGGATCCAGAGGATCGGGCGGGGGTGGGGTGACAAAATGAGCGTCCCCAAAGGAGAAGCAGCCACCTCCTTGGAAAGTCCTAGTGAAGCAGGGCAGCATACGCCCTTCAAGACAGGAGTCTTGTTTCTGAGGGTGTTGGCTTGATCCCTGAACATGAGGGTCCCATCTCTGAGGAAAGTGACCAGAGAAGTAGCCAAGTGCTCTTGAGGAAAAGATCTTGCAGGTATGCAGTGTTTAGAGGGTGACTCAGCATCCAGGGGGGATGTTTGCCCAACACAGAGGTGTGGTCTTCAGAGCAGAGATAGACAGAAGAGCAAACAGGCAGAGAAACCAAAAGCAGAAGCAGCAGAAGGAACAGCTTCACCAGCTGCAAGGGTGGAGGGCGGTGCCTCCTTGGTCCTGTCCCATTGCCCTGAGATCTTCAGCCACAGTTCCCTTGGTAAGGATGTAACGTCCACAACAGAAACACCTCCCACCCTGAATAGGTACCTCACTTACCTCTGGTGACCATGGATAGAATGTGTCTATGAAACAGGTCATGAAGTTGGTAACCTCCTCTGTCCATTTCCAGTCGTTCAGGGAAGCACCAGGACAGAACTGAACAATAAAACTATTCATGATAGTAGAATGAGATGAGCCTGTGTTTCCCTATAGCTGCTATCCACGTATCCACTGGGCAAGGAGCCAGTGATGCCAAGGGAACGTTTTCATTTCGTTTTAGCAGAGCTAAACTTTATATCTGGCATATATGGATAGTAGCTACTATACGTGGTCAGAGCAGCTCTAGAAGCAGAAGGAACAATAAAAATGGAGCATCTGCACCACAAAAGCATCACCACCCTCACTATCTCTTACCATCTACCCTGTGAAGTAGATGCTTATCTCAGGATACAGTATGGGGGAACAACCCAGGAAAATCAAGCAGCCCCCATCTGGACAGACCTGGTATCACAGGAAGGATTTAACCACAGATCTCATGACCCCAGAGGTCTGCCCCTACCTCTATGCAACACTGTTCATTCGCGTAAACATGTCATCTCATATCTATTGGGTGGTTGTGATTGGGTCCATTTTGCTGGTTAAACACCTAAAGACAAATCAACACACACACCTAAGCTGTAAGTGGGAATCCTCAGGCAAAGGTAGTGCAATTGCCACAGTAAGAATGTGGGGGTTTAAATTAATTTGATTTTCTTCCAGGTAGCTCAAAGCACTGTGTTATAAATATCATTGATGTCTGATGAGTTTCCAGTTTATAATTCAGGCCACAGTTCCTATGGAACAGAATTCCCTATGGAAGTATCAAGCAGTCTACTGGAGTTCAAATGTGGATATTTGATTGACTTCCTGAGCATGTCCCAAACCTTCTCCCTCTCCATAAATAACAAGGCCATTCCAAGCTTCCAGAGTCATCCATGCCCCCATCCATTTTTTATCCCTTTCATCTAATCCACCAACAAATATCCTTAGCTCTGTCTTCAAGAAGTATGCAGAATGCTAGCCATCCCCACTGCTGCCATCCTGTCTAACTCCTTCATCTCTAGTCTGGCCAGAGAAATTCCTGGGTCCTCCTCCTCCTCCTCCTCCTCCTCCTCCTCCTCCTCCTCCTCCTTCTCCTCCTCCTCTTCCTCCTTCTCCCCCTCTTTCCCTCCCTCTCCCTCCTCCTTCTTTTTTCCACACAGTAACCAGAGTCATCTTTTATAAACTGAAAAATCAGGGTATGCCCCTCAATGGTTTTTTCAACTCCTATAAGACCTGCAAGGTCTAGCCCCTGACATCTCTCTAACTTCATTTCCTATCAATCTTTTTGCCAAACCAGATCTTTCTGATCACTCCTTCTGGAAACCACTCACCCCCTCACTTCCTAAGGACCTCTGCCCAAAGATCCCTTTACCAAAGAAAAAAAGCACTCCTTGCCTTATCTTGTTTCAGTTTCTCTCATAATAACCATTGACTTTTATAGGTAGTAAGTGTGCCTATTTTTGCTTCAGGCAGATAAAATAGAGGAAGACCAGTTGAACTTGAATTTCAGATAAACAAGTAAATCTTGTTACTTACTATTATTTTTTTTCAAGACAGGGTTTCTCTACATTAACTCTGGCTGTCCTGGAACTCACTCTGTAGACCAGGCTGTCCTCAAACTCAGAGATCCACCTGCCTCTGCCTCCCAAGTGTTGGAATTAAAGGCCAGCTCCACCACCGCCCAGTACAATTATGTTTCAGTATGAGGTTGCCGTTGATATTGGAGACCTCTTATAATTAAAAAAAAAAAAATAGCTAAGCCAGGCATGCCAATGCACACCTTTAATCCCAGCACTCAAGAGGCAGAGGCAGGAATATCTGTGCAAGTTCAAGGCCAACCTGATCTACATAGCTAATTCTAGGACAGCCCAGACTACATGGAAAGTCTCTGGAAAAAAAAATGCTGTTTATCTGGTATTCTAACTTTACTAGTGTTCTGTGTTTTATTTGCCAAATCTGGCAATTCTATGCAGGAAGGCAAAGACATTGTTTATTGTGTTTATTGCAGCATCCCTAGAGCTAGAACAGTCTTGGAATGTATCCCTCAATAAATATTTATTGGATGGATGGATGGATGAATTATTCAGATGGGTCATTAAAACGACAAGCCTAAACGGCCTAAGAATAAGGGGGTGGAGAACTTTTCAGTTGGTGGAGCCTGGGAGCCTCAGGTGCCAGTCTTCACCCCTGCCGCTCTGCAGTCAAAATTCCGCCTGGCTCCAGGGAGCTGCAGTCTCCCGCGGTCCCCCTCCAGGGGGCGGGGCCTCTCTAACCTGACACCAGATCCAACCCGGGTCAGAGCCGCGGCCCCTTTAACTCTCCACCTCCCCAGAACCGCTTTCGCCCTCCTGAGTGACGTCACCAGGAGCGCCCAATGGGGGCGCGGCTTACTGGCAGGCTGTGCCCGGGGCTGCTGCCAAAGGGGAAGTGAGCTGGGGCTGGAGCGATGGCC